AAAAAAAAACCAAAGAAAATGAAATTCATGCTCTCTTTAGTTCAGCTAGATGACTGACGGCACAAAATGAACTTGAGCGAAAGAAAAAGCTGCGCCAGCCGTGTTATTGTGTAATTGCATATTCACTGGCCAATCAAAAAGTGTCTCGCGTCACTTGAACAAAACTTGATATTACCCACCGTCTTTCTTCTCGATGACATAGCATGCAGTATAGAAATCGTGGAATGTTGTAGCAAGCTGGTACAAGTAATCACATAACTAAAAGAAAAAATCCTATTGTTAAAGACGCTCACAAAGAGAGAGCTGTACCTGATGCAGCATCAGTGAATCCAAAACTTGCAGTACACAGTCCGCTAGTTTCAGAATTTGCTTAGATAAGTTCAGTTCCGCAGGATGCGAAATTGGGATGGATGGCGTTCGAGAGATGTAATCGGCGATTGTCGTAGGCTCAACTCCAGATGTTCGTACAATAGACCTAAAGTCTTCGTATCAATCTACAAAAACGCGATTACTCGCAAGTCTCACCTAATCCTTGCGTAAGCATACAAAAGGTATACAGCTGTGTTGCCTTTATCGTCAAGCATTCGATCAAAGGAAAATACATAATCTTGCGTACGAGTATGCGACAAATCTGCGTATTTGATGCAACCATAGGCAACGGCATCACGAGCTGCGATCAGCTCCGCGTCACTCATAACCTGAATTATTATAACGGAAAGAGTAATTTCACTTATGAATCGAATAGCTTGATGAAAAGCACGGTAAAGCTTGGATTCACACTAGTGTTAGCTCATTTTAGCCATCTAGAAAAAATCAGCAGACGACATGACGATCAGAACTGCACAAACTGTAGTTTCAACATTCTACACGAAATTAATGTCGAATGCATTTGCAAGATACTGTTCAAAACATATCATATATAAGCGCCTTTATTGTAAAAAGTACGTGAGGAAAGAAGGACCAAAAATTGCACAAGATGAAAATAGCTTTTCAAAAAAAA